TCAGATGGCGACCAAATACAGTCAAATCCGTCTCAGCGGTCACTTCTCTATATGGGCCACCTGTTTATAGTGGTCACACATATTGCTTCCCTCCAGGAGAAAATATGTGTTGTAGAACCTGTCTAGTAAGGCTTACCTGTCTACAGCGGCGAGTTTCGCTGTTTCCCCTTGGTATTAGGTTTCACCAAATAGATAGATTTTACTGTACATCATTGTCGCGTTCGCACATTGCAATAGGTGACGCATAACGTTTGTGTGAATTGCCTCCGGTTGATTTTACGAAAGTAGGTGCGATCGTGTTATTAAAGGACTGAACAGAGTACAGAGAACCGTGGCCATGTATTTTCTGTCATGCATTATAATCTCATTGGAAATTATGCCATCTCTCCTTCTCTATTTCTCCCCTTACCCTTACCAACTCTCCCCACATTTCTCTCTTTTATCAGTCCTTCGAGCTTGAGCTCTCTTTTTCTTTCTCTTTCTGCTCGTATTTCGATTGTGATGCTGCTCCTATTCTACTTTCATATTCTCATTTATATTCATACCTGAATTTATTCATGATGTGATTCAGAATTGTATTTAAAATTCTTGCTATGTAAAAGTCATATACATTGTAACTGTCTTATTATGTTTTGTGCCGAAAGCCGGAGGACCGTACCTGCTCATAGACTTTTCTTTATAGAGTCTTGACGCCTTTCTGGCTTTCAGCACACGACCCCATATTGTTGTCTTATGTTTTATGTATGACATGTTACACCAATGGAAAACAAATTTCTGTATTTTATATGGACAATAAAATCTTGAATCTTGAATCTTGTGAATAACAAATATATATAAAATCTATCGAATGGAAATTTGATGTAAAGATTATCATTTTGAGTTATCACAAATTAAGTATAATACAGGATTTCCCGGCCAAATTCGCGAGTTTGTCATTCGAATTCATTTACTTTGCATTTAAGTTAGCGCAGATCAGCTTTGCCATGCCAATCATCATTCAATTTTCCCGATTTTGTATTTAATTTAGGATTTTGGTCGAAGGATTTCATAGATCTGTCATTCAATTTAGAAACTGCTCAACTATAGCATTCAAATTAATCGTCACTTGTCGAGGCGTCATTTTTATCATTCAAATTAACACCTATCATTCGTATTCGAATTATGTGTATTCAATTTAGGAATGTTAGGGGGAATAAATGCAACACACGTTTACAGCTTTAAAAAAATGCAATTAAATGCATGATTTGCTATTTGGGTCTTTTCTGTTATTCAATTTATTAATTTTGAGGACAAAGCATATGTTTGTAGTCAGACATTAGGTAAAGAAGGGGCGAAACAAGGGATATGGCATCTCTGAATGGACATGTTCATATACCCCGGAAAAGTGGGGACACGAAAACACCTACCCCAGTCACAATATGGTACCCTTCCTCCATAATGAAATTGTGATAAATTTATGATGAAACACAAGACAAACAACTTCCTTACATGAAAATTTACACAAATATTGAGACCATCAAGTCCGTAAATGTACAGTAAGTCTTTTTTTTAACAATCAAACTTAAAGGCTGATGAATATCTGATAAATCTAAAAGTATATAAAGAGTATAAATGCAAGAAAATAAAATAGGATGAAATACACATGAAAAAACGATCTTGAAAGAAAAAGAATGAGCTATAAAAAGTGTTTAAACAACGAGAAATGTATATTGACCATTAATTTTAGTGCACAAAGTGCTAATTTGAATGCTACAAATGAATTCGAATGCTAAAAGTACACCGTCGCGATGTCAGAAAATCGTGTTGCGCTAAATCGAATGACCAAATAACGAAAGAGGCAATTTGTTCATTAATTGGAATGAAACATACATAGATTCTAACGAAAACTTCATAGATTTGAAATCTAGAAAAAGGAATATAAACCCGAGATATACCCGACAGCACTAAAACCGTCGAATTTGAACGCAAGACAAATGAATTTGAATGACAAACTCGCGAATTTGGCCGGGAAATCCTATAGTATTACTATAAATTCTGTTTGGTAGCGAAGTTATCATGCAGCAAACTTTAAAAAAATCCCTTGCTTCCACATTCATTCTCCCTTAAAGCTTTAAATAACCGTGAAGATAAGTAATCAAGACTTCATATTTCCATCAACCTTGGCATTATGACCCGATGATATTCAGCTGATAGCAAGCAAACTGATCCCCTGATTGATATACCGTTTTCATCCGATAATGAAATGTGATGTTTATGATCTGCCGAGGAAAACATTATTTTGACACTTTATCAGGAATACCCGTTTTATGAAACGGGAAAGGGTAACACTGGATTCATCGTGGAGGCTGAAGACTGCCTGTCACTAAAGGAAGAGATTATCATAATGCAACAAATTAGACTTTGGAATGATAGCCGAAGGCCAGCTTTACTGCAAGAACCGAATAAAGCCGTATGCTTTTCACATTTTTTCCTCTTTATTCATATTTTACAACGTCTTTCATATATTCGATATTTTATCGTGGCAGGACTGTGTTACGGATTGTGAATTATCCAGAGGTTGAAAACAAGAATAAGAGAAGTTTCTCGGTAATTGGGTGAATTGCCGTTTGGTCTACACCCAGCTCGTCTATTATCCACATGGTCTCATTATCATTTCGTCTACTTATCATTAGGTCAAATGACCATTTAGGCTAAAAGTAATTTGGTCTAATTGCCATTTGGTCTAATTGCCAGTCGGTCTAATACCCATTTGGTCTACTATCCATATGGTCTAATAATCATTTAATCATAAACAAATAATCATAATGGCCATACAACAGTTCGCTTTGATATGAAAGCAACACGATCACTTGATGCTTCACATATACACACACACACACACACTGAACACTACAGTGCAAATTTCCATATACAGTCTTTATTTTCTTGTCTGAATACACCGGCTTTACCGTTATTCATAATGCACCTTAATAATACACACACACACACACACACAAGCACTGAGCACAAAAATGCAAATTCCATATACAGTCACTCATAGTTTTTCTCGTCTGAATTGACCACCTATACCGTTTTAACAATGCAAGTTGATAATGCACAAATACGCTGAACACAAAAGTGCAAAAGATGCCTTTGATAGGTACATGAGGTATAACGCCTGATAAAAACTGTGTGTTCTGTACCGATGCGCAGTTCTTTCATAGAAGCCAACGTTACAGTTGCAGTTACATGCACGTCAGTCACCTAGTGCAGGTTACTGTATTTCATCAATGAAAGTGGCTAATATTTGTTGCTATATAGGACAAACCATGGCAAGCTGTCGGTTCGTGATCAGCGGTTATCTTTGGAGAGGTATGTATCAACAAAGTCATTAACATTCTGATACAAGTTCCGAGTATGACTATAATACGTCGTCTGGAAAAAACCGTTGAGCTTACTTGCAATTAATGATTTTGCTTTCCTTTTCTTAAATCATCAAAAATAGGTATTTCAATCAGACAAAGTAGATGCATGGAGGTAAAATGACTCGGTCTATTTACTCAATGAATAATTGATTTAATTATTCATTTGCAGTTTTACTATAGGATTTCCCGGCCAAATTCGCGTGTTTGTTATCCGAATTCATTTACTTTGCATTTAAGTTAGCGCAGATCGGCTTTGCCTTGCCAATTATCATTCAATTTTCCAGTTTTTGTATTTAATTTAGGATTTTGGTCGAAGAGTTTCATAGATCTGTTATTCAATTTAGAAACTGCTCAACTAGCATTCAAATTAATATTCACTTGTCGAAGCGTAATTGTTATCATTTGAATTAACACCTGTCATTCGTATTCGTAATATTTTTTTATTCAAGTTAGGAATGTTAAGGTGAAGAATTGCAACAAACTTTTACAGTTTATAAATAATGCAGTTAAAATGAATGATTTGCCATTGGGGTCTAAGCTTTTATTCCATTTATTTATTTCCAGGACAATGCAGATGGGTGTAGTCAGACATAAAGTAAAGAAAGAGCGAAATCAAGGCATATGCCATTTCTGCACGGACATGTTCATAGACCCGGGGAAGGTGGGGGTACCCTCAATCGCTCCTTTTTACTACAGACTCGGAATTTTACAAAACTAATTCACATCGTCTCTTATACCCAAACACACCCCTCTGTTTTTCTTAAAGAGTTTCATAGTTTACCTTCTAGTCCCTACCCCAGTCACAATATTGTACCCTTCTTCCATAATGAAATTATGATGAAATTATGATAAATTAATGATGAAACATGAGACAAACAACTTTCTTACATGAACATTAACAAATATACTGAGACCATCAGGTCCGTAGATGCAAGTCGTTTTTTTCTTTTTAACAATCAAACTTAAATGCTGATAACTATTAGATAAATCTATTAGGTATAAGTGTATAAATGCAAGAAAATGAAATATGATGAAATACACATGAAAAAACAATCTTGAAAGAAAAAGAATGAGCTATAAAAAGTGTGTAATAAACGAGAAGTGCACAAAGTGCTAATTTGAATGCTACAAATGAATTAGAATGTTAAAAGTACACCGTCGCGTTTTCGTGTTGCGCCAAATCGAATGACCAAATAGCGAAAGAAGCACATGTTCATTAATTTGAATGAAACATACGTATATTCTAACGAAAATTCCATAGATTTGAAAACTAGAAAAGGGAATATAAACCCGAGATATACCTGACTAAAACTAAAACCGTCGAATTTGAACGCAAGACAACTTAATTTGAATGACAAACTCGCGAATTTGGCCGGGAAATCCTATATTAGTACTAGTTTGATTCACCAGTGTTGACTAACCCGATCCATACTTAGCCAAAAGTGTTTTGTACGAGGCCAAGTTTCCAGAACATTCTCATCATTCTCGAACTGATTAATCCTTTAAACCAATCTAGTTAAAAACCCTTCTGATTGTTACACCCAGGTATTAAGTGTTACCATGAACTTACACACAGGTTAAATTCGAATGACAATAATGGACACGCAGAGCAGACCACGACCAACGAAACGATGGCTGATTCTCGTGGGACTCTTTGCCGTCGGATATTTTGACATCGGAACGTTAAAATCGTTGGGCGTGTTCCTTGAGAAAATGACGGAAGACTTGCAAACGTCTCTCGCTGTCGTTGGACTAGCTATTGGACTATGTCACGGCGTAGCACAATGTTTTGGTGAGATGCTTCTTTTTACGATGGCCATTCAATAATAACCAGTATTTATTTTAACTATCCCCTAAAGTAGTGGTTTTTTAAATGCATGTACTTAAAGAATAAAGTCAATGGGGGCGCATGACGCTCCATGTGCTAAAGCAATGGAGTAAATCCACTTAGATTGATCAAAATTATAACATGTATTAGTGATGTTTACTGTAAAGCATTCCAATTAATAAATCTCGCATCGCGGAATCAGTCACGTCATTTATATTCTGATCCATAAAAAAAATAAAGCAATAACATTTCAGAAAGTCCGTAACATTTTCGGTAATCTGTCCTGCCAGAAAGCAATATGTTTTCGTTTTTTTTCTGGAACATATTTACTATGATTCAAAATATACATTTTTTAATTGATTCCTGCCTCTAAATTTTTAATTTCACAGCGGTTATAAATATTCCTCTATTAAGGCGGTTTTCAGCAGGAAAACTTGTCCTTGCAGGCAGTAGCATTGCAGCTACAGGACTCAGCCTCATTTATTTTGCAACATCTGGAATTCACTTTCTACTACTAATGCTCTTGACAGGTAGGACTTCTACGACTCTCTTAATACATATATAGAAAATAATAATAGACGCAAAGTATACCCTTGACGTACTCTCATCAAAGCAAGTTAATTGATCACTGAGCTCTTGCTTACATAATCTTGTTTCCGAACTTGCTGTAGTCTTTGAAAATTGAACAATGTGATAAAACATACGACAGTCTATGTAGTATCCACTTGCCATTCTTTCAATGCTCAATGACCAATATTGTAAAGTGTGTTTTGTCCGAAAGCCATTCAGATTAAGACCAATGCTATTATAATATAACCCTCCGTCATGCGTCTGTGGATTTATAAAGTTTGCGAAGCGTACTCTACACTCTATATTGTATCTTATCGAATTTGAGGGGGCCGGTGGCTGCTTTGATTTGAGCATCAGCTGCTTTAAACATGTTAATGAAGGAATTGTATGAAAAATTGTCTACAGTGTCAGTTATATTTCACCTGGTTCTTAGGCCTAACGTGGTCACCTTTATGGTCTTAATCATATTGAACTGATTAAAATGATCCAGGAGTCTAACGTAAATGGCAGGGAGTACGCGAGGGGAAAATCCTTCCTAACGTTATCAAAATAATTACTGTAATGTTATTTTCTCTTTTTTAAACAGGGTTTGGATATAGCGTAGTTCTTTTGCCTTCTCAAGTCAGCGTCCTTGACTACTTTCCAGATCACTTCGAGATCGCCACAACAATTGTCATCCTGGGCAGCGGTGTGGGTATGATGACGCTCCCATTGCTTACAGAACAGCTCGTCGTGGCTTACTCCTGGAGAGGAGCGATCCTTATCCTAGGGGCCTTGAACTTGCATATGTGTGTGACGGGGTTACTAATGGTGTCAGCTGGTCAACAAAGGCGTGTATTGGGAGAACCTTCAACTTTAGCCATCAGATCTCAGGTCAGAGAAAACCATGAAGAAACTGTGTCCCTGATAAACGAACATGTGAGTGTTTACCCACATAACATAGATGATAATGGTGATGATGATGATGATGATGATGATGATGATCGCAATGGCCATGGGGTCTTTTACTCTATCGCCAGAATCGCCAGAGCTGCCAAAAAGGTATTCCTGGATACTTTCGATTTTAAAATCTTCCGTGAGTGCCCCCGCTTCATCACAATCTGCATGACTTTATTCACCTACGCCGTCTCCTACTATGGATGGATCGTCTTCTTGATTCCCAATGCCGAAGCCAAGGGTATCAGCCCCGAGAAAGCCGTCCTACTTGCAACCATTGGTGGTGCTGGGAACATCTTTGGAAGGCTCACGATAGGTCTCCAGGCTGCAAGGTTCAATCTGAAACCCCAGATCACCTACTGCCTCATCTGTATCGTATCAGCAGTGGCGTTCTTCTATAATTTCTTCACTAAAAGTTTTTCCATTCTTAGCTGTTTAGCAGCCATAAATGGCTTCGCATTGGGTGGAAAGGTCATGAGTAGCAACCTTCTGTGTAAGGACACTGTCTCGGACGAAAGGTTTCCCGCTGCGTTGTCTTTCGTATCACTCGTCTTTGGTATAGGGGAGACAGTCGGGGCATTGCTCATTGGTATGTACATAGTAACAAACGGATAACAAGTGTCTGTTTCTTTTACCTATTCGTGTTTTTGTTCGTTTCTTTGTTTGTATCTTTTTGATTATTTTTGAGAGAAAAAATTAGTCAGGAGGTAACGGTACATACTGCAGCGTAATAAATAATAGAGTATCAGGACGCCCTTTTTTTTCCTTTCGCTGACAGGTAGATGCTATCGGTGTTTCCCTTTATTAACTCTGAATTTATAGGCAATATACCAAATGATCCACACGTGTGACACGTGGGACATCGTTTTGTTTCCATATCTAAAACACAGTAATAATACACATCTTTACTTATCGTGGATTAAACAAACACGTCATTATGTATAATAATAGGGCAACATCATGAGTTTTACAAAGTTTTTTGTTTTTAACAACTCTTTTCTCTTCAAATAGGGCTTCTGTACGATATCACGAAGTCATTCGATATCATGTTCTGTGTGCTTGGAGCAGCTAATATATTGGAGTCCTGCATCATCATTTCTCCCATCATCAAGGATTGGATGGTCGCCTTGGTTACCACCCGTTAATGAAGGGCAGGAGGTACAATTTCCTGGACCGGTTATCGTCAGTGGCATAGCTATGGGTCCTATTCACCCCCACCGTATGGGAGGCAAACGGAAGGAGACAAATAGCGAAATGGAGAAAATAAAATGTGCTTTATGGAATGATATATTTTCACGGTTAATAGAAAAGAAAATCTACGTATTGTTTTGTACACATGTGAATAATTTTGTTTGGCACTCTCATTACTAATCATTTCCATTTTGTCAAAACAGTTATTATTTTCGCAAAATATGTAATATTTACTCATGAAAGAAACACACACATACGAACACAACTTAACATGGAAGAAACCATCATCGACAGGGTTGCCACAAAAAGACTTTGGACACAACAACAATTGAAGGGGAATAAACAATTCAAATGAGGTGTGTCCCTTTAAAATTGGTACGTGTGCGGTAGTAGTCCACGGAAATGAATAAAAGGCTGTTCGTCAAAGCGAGAAGTCAATGAACAGGCGATGGTAGGTGTACAGGGGTCCAGACAACTCGACACAAAGGCAGCCAGTCCCTGGACAACTTGCACAATACCCTGGGTGGGGTGCGTTTGCGGACAGCTCGACCAAGTATTACCCCTACCTGATTTCATGATCTAAAATCCCTCATTCTAGATAAAATTGTAATTTTATGTATCAATTATGCTTTTGTCAGCACAGTCATGACAGGAAACATGGACATTTTTAGTATTTTTGTAGCTTTTCTATTGAATAAAGTTGATTTCCCTTGCAACGAGAATATTTTCTTTTTGACGAACCGAAGGCGTACGATCGCCGGATAACTTCTCGGTATTAGAATCATTTTTCTGTCTCAGGAAACGTTTTATTTGTAGGAATATGCTGTTATGTATCTTTACATTCCAATATTACCTTTCCTCTACCTCAGCGGAATTGTCGCTTGCCTCAAGATTATTAGTAAACTAAACACCGGGACTAAACATAACACTTTTAAGACTGTACATTCGCTGAGCTGTGTGAGGGTGTACCATACCGTATCATGTGTGTAAATGACAGGCCGGCTGGCTGTTGCAGGGGGTGCCCTTATTCACAAGGGTCATTTTTCAATGAATGCTCGATTTCTATATAAATTCAACAAGTTTTCACACCAGCTTGTGATAGCTCAGTAGTTTGGAGGACCTTTACAACAATAACCATTGCCCTAACAGTAATATTCCCACTGATAGTTTGCGTTCCGGGAATTATACAATATAAATAATCACAGTTTCCTCTCAAAATACACCAAGATGAACATCGGTGTTCAAGAACACAAATGAAATATGTCAACAACAAAAAAAACTAAGAATGTCTGCTTGATCAAGAAGTTAGAATAGCACACGTCAAATTTTTCTCGAAATTTAGTTCAAAAAACGACTGCATTCAGCCACAAAACACGTTAAGCCAAATTTCCTTTCGCTGTGTTGTAATGTTTAAAGGAGAAAAACAGAGAAGGGAAAGTTAATTCACACGTCTGTGAGAATTGGTTTGAGGTGCCTCAGGTGGGTATGTTCGTTCATAAAAGAAATGTGATGATAGTACAACTATTTACAGTAGAGCTCTTCGGATAAGTAGCCATCGCGCCCGCGGGCATTTTAACTAGTTTGCACGAGCGCCTATGTAAAAACCCGCGGGTTACTCGCGAGCGCACGGGTACTTGCCCGCGAGCTCTACTGTAACTAAAATGCTCACTTGCATACAAAATACCTGATTGCACTCTCATAACAATTATATTATACTGCTTCTTTGAGAAGGCGTGTTGGTTCAGTCGGTAAAGAGTCTGCCTATCGAACCAAAGATCGTGGGTTCGAATCCAATCTAGGCGGATTACTGAAGCCTGCATTGTGTATTAATTAACGTGCTTCCCTTGTTGCATAGACGCGGGAAATAACCTGATGACCTATTTATTTGTGAGCGAGGGAGAAACCGAGATGATGAGGGGGTGGAGTTGGGAGAGGGCGTCCCACAACAAGACCTATAAGAGCCATTGATTAGGAGAGTGTGATCAACCCAGTTTAAGTTGGGCAACATATAGCGAATACTGCCTTGTTGGGCAAGCACAGTACAACAAATATTACGCCGTGTTGGCCAAACTCTGTGTATAAATGGATCTGGAACCAACAAAAATGCCCCTCCAAAAAATCGCCCTTCTAAGCAAATAAAGTACTACCCCGGCGATAAAATAAATGCCCTTCCTAAGGAGAAATACGTTCCTTCTTTTTCTGTTGCTCCCTTAAATAATATTCGTGACCCATTCGTTCGCTTTGTTCACTCATTGCAGACCTCCGCCTGCCCCGCCACCTAGGCCACCCCCGTCCCCCTAAACAAAATTACAAAATATGGAATTATGGAATCATGGAATGATGAGCAGGAAAATGAATTAATGCAAATAGAAGTGTCAATTAAGTTGATAATTTTGTTGATCTAAGTTCAAGTAGAGTAATCGATATGATATATTTTCGTGGGTTACGTACAGGATAAAATAGCATGGACTTGCTAGCATAAATCTCAACGTACCGTACAACTTTTTTTAAAGAGCGCCATCTAAAACAAAATGTCAACATGACGTGAAAGTAAGTCTGAGATGCGGATCTGCCGTGTAACCTATTAAATTGTGACATTGATGATGATTTGAAATTTGAAAATGACGATGATGGTGAACAAAATGATTATGAGGTCGGTGATGATGGTGATGACGTCATTATAATCCTTATCATAATCTTTATATTGTATGATTATTATCATCAACATCATCACCACGCCAATCGGCCATGTCTTCACTATCATCATCTATTTTATCCCCGACCTTGTCATCTACGTCATTATTATATCAAAAAAACATCTTGTCATGGTATCATTGTCATCGTTACTATAAATGTTTCTATCATTATCATCATCGTCATCATCATCATTATTATCTTTCGACTCCATTTTCATCAGAACTAGAGGCTATCAATAGTCAACATCAACATCACCACTGCCATTGTCACTATTTATTCTTTTCATTCCATTGATTTTTATAAACGTTTACCATAAACAAGGCATGTGGATTGTTAAAACAAAGTATATCGTTAAAAAAACGCTCTCCTCGGTTACTGTTTTAAGAAACAACATTTAACCACCCCCCAAAAAAATCCCAAGAAACAACAACTGAAACCATATACAGAAAAAAGAACAGCAAGCAAAAACATACATAATGATCATCATCAATCGTCACCATTATCAGAATTACTGGCCGTTCTTTTTTGTACATTCTATCATCTGTAAAAACGGACTTTAGCAACAAATGAGTCTTTCAAAGGAGGTAGGAGGAGTTTTGTTATTACATCAACAGCAGCAGCACTTCAATGATAGATCCATATTTTTACATTAAAAATCGGAGTGACAACATTCATGCTCGGGATTCACCACTTGTCAAATAAAACAATTTATTTTCGCCTCAAATATACGACTCCCACAGTGTCGAGATAATTGATATGAAATTGAAATGAATTAACGTTGGTCGTTTTCCTTACATAATTATATGCATACTTATTAAATTCATTATAGTTTTTACATGTTTCATTCGCGTAATTGTTCGTATTTAATTATACATTTATTTTGTTAGATTAAATATTCCTGTAACATGTAAATCGGTTTTTCTTTAAAAGACAATATACTAGTTTGACCTGAGCTCAACTTAATCTTAAGAACTTAAAGAAATATATTCACCGATTAATTGCGTTTTCGTTGAGCTTAGGTTTACAATGATCCATTGTCTTCAAAAAACTTTGTAAACTCTCGGAGTTCGGGATTACCCAGTGATGTATAAAAGTGCCTTTCTTTGGCTTCTCTCAATTATGATTTAGTTTGAGATTTATCAATATGATATACAAAACCTGTTCTATTTTAAATTTCAGAAACAATATTATTCTTGGGATAACCACAACTAAGTCTCTTAACCATTGACGTATACATCGTATACTTTCTCAATATTATAAACATGTAATTTCTCCAAGAACTTGAGTTACATAATGAAATGATTACACACGGATGGTAACATACCCACATTGAAAAAGAAAAGAAAAGAAGTATTTTTCATTCACCTAATTGTATAAGACCTACATTGAAAGACGATGGAGGAACATGTTTACAATTTCATCACGTGACGGTCTCCACATATACATGTATTAAACATACATTACTTCGTGATTCTACAGCTCCATCTTTTCACATTACTGCGAAATTCCAACGAGACAGCTACTTATTATCAGCTGGAATACTCATTAGCCTTTTCATTAAGCGTTCTATATATCAATATGGCATATTTAAGTTTCAGGTTAACTTCTTAAAACTCTTAACAACAATGAAGGCTTTGCTTGAAAATACACATTATAAACATATACCCATCAATTTATACATTTACTTATACGTGTACATTGGCTCATCAGTGAGAAAAGGAAAGTACAAAATGAATTCTGAGTGGAGGAGCCAACAGAGGCCTGTTGAGGGCTAGCTTCTTGCAGACTTGCTTAGTTTAAAATATTATTCTAAACCATAGAAAGAGAAAAATAAGGAACAAAATAAACAAAGTACCAGCTTAAAAAATAAAAAGTAAATGGGTAATTAGGAATATTTAAAAGTATCATCATTTACAGTACGTGAGTAGATACATTTATTGCATTAATTCAGTTAAAAATACCTTAATTTCCTCTCAAATAAAGACAGATCTTATTGTTACCCTATATTCTTTGAACAACAAATGCGTTTCCAAGTGCTACTATCTTGAGTTCTCTTGATCAAATTATAACATATTATCTAATCATATAATATCAAAGGTCTAATTATATGGTATATATACAATAACAAAATCAAATCCAGATCCATAAATCTACTAAAATTCAGGTTCAACGTAAGCTTCTATACAACGCTAAATTAAAATGAAGAGATAATCATGTCAAAATGAAACAGAAATTTGTTGCGGTAAACAAAGTTGTT